ATTTTGTTCTGTGTTCATCAATAAAGATGACTTGAAATACTGACCTGCGATACATTGTAATAAAATTGGTTTTCAATTGTGCGGTTACTGCTGGCCGCGTACTCTTGTCTGTAAACTTCGAGGGTTCCACTTACACGTAAAAAACTCGTAATATAGTTTGCAAAAAAAAACTTGTTCATAACTTAATGAAGTACAATGCTAGACTGAAACTGAGACACTTGATGTTGCAACTTTTGAGTACGAAAAAGTATTCAAACAGCTGGAAATTTCTACAAAAATGTCACACTTATGAGTCTCATGCAGAAATCAAAGTGAGATGTTGAACAAGGGACAAAGTTGTAGAAGAGGAGAAATAAATCAAATTTAAGATTCTTCGTCCTCGTAAAGAGTATTTTAAAAAAATCTAGACTGCTTGTAACTGACACTAAATAGAAGGCAAAGGGTGAAGCAAAGCAAGACAGTGTTATAGAGTGGTGCTCAGGAGTCACTCTCTAACAGTAATAAAGCTCTTAAAAAGTTGCTTACGAAATTTGAACAAATACAGAAGAAGCTTGCAACACATTCCAATCAAACACATTAATAACAACATCATAAATTTACAGGTCCATCAAGGCTGGTAAGGCCACAGCTGTCCCCAAGACATATTCTTCACGTTATTCAACGATCACTATACCAAACATACAGAGTCTACAAGAACATCACTATATTCACATTGCAGACATAGCCATTCTGAAGACAAACTGCAAAGGGTATCCAGATGGCTCTGTTATATGCATGCAATTATATATCACACACCTTACATATTCCTTTCAGCTCTATTCCATCGATATACATGTGTTCAGATATGCTTAAATAGCATTCTTATACTGCATATATTCTTATGAGAACAGAAAAGAGTGTCATTCTAAGATTTGCTTGCAGTCAGACAAAAACATAATTAATAAGCATTTCAAAGACAAACAAATAATGAAGATTTTAGAAATTGCACTGAATATAATTTCTTGGCATAAGAATCTACAGTAAATCAGAAAGCAGCAAACTATACAAAAGCTGAAAGAGTTTGGTCAACAACCAAAGGAAAAACTGCACAGCCTTGAATTGACACTGGTGTGGGAATAAACACAGACAAAACAACTCACACTTCAAATTTGTCACTTGTAAATAATGGGAGTGAGCACATAGCATTACAACAATTTGCATGAGAGGACCAGCAAGCAAAGAAATAAACCTCCAGCATTAAAAAACTTTTGCAGAGACATGCAAGGAAGGAAAAAGTTCAATAAAAATAAGTAAATGATAATCTGATGAGTCAAGCAAAATAGCAAACTTGTTTCTAGAAACAAGTCTTAAAACATTCCACAACTTAAATCACAGATGCACTGGAACCTGGTAACATCCTGTCTGCAATTAATGTACATTTGTCTCCCGAGTCTTTCAGCCCCATCTTTTCGAAAAGTAGATATATGATAGAGAGTTGAGGGATACAGATAGAGAGATAGAGAGGGGTTTTATCTCTTGACACAAGACTAAATTATGACAGCCTTAAAATCAGGAAAGTTAACAGGCCAGAAAGTGAATAAGTAAAACTGAACCAAACGTATACAAAATATGGGTGTGCTATTAGACCAGTACCATTTCCATTTTAACGCATGTTTTCTAGAACCATCCATGAAAGGCAGTCATTGCTTCTTTTATTCCAGTATATAACAGATCTAACTCTCACTAAACAACCAGCATCCTTTGTATCTTTACCTTTGGATGTGTACAGGTAACAATCAGTCTATCTTTGATATCGCTGTTCTAGCAATAATGCACTTCTTTAAGGTGTGAAAATAGGGTAGTACAAACTTGTTGACCTTTTATAAACCCTGTACTTGAAATGTGCCTAAAAATAAATGAAATGGAAAAATTGTCATGCATGCTATGAAATCAGAAATAAAAAGCTAAAGAAGAAAAACATTACGTTATAACTTGCATGTGTGGAGGGAGTAAATGCGCTTACAAAAGACGGACCAAGACAGAGGTGCCACCTGACTAATTTTTTAAAAACATTATAAAAACTTCCGAGTACTTAAAATTTACCCACCCTTTTTTCTAATACACCCTGTACCAAGACTATTTTTATTCAAAGTGCAACATGACATGCACTAGTCAGCCAACCAGACAATTTCGTAAGACCGGGGTTTCCGGATTTATCTGTAAAATCTTTACCTCTGATAAATATTCAAAATTTAAATGTGAGTGATTTTTATGCCCCAATTGACAATTCTCTAATCAAGAAAACAAATAAGAGAGCAAACAGACGACACCATTTACGTATGACAGCTTGGTACATCAAATTACATAACATGACCCCTCATTTTAAGTTCTCTTTCTGTGTACTTCATACATAAAACAATGTGAAAGAATACAGTAAAATTCATATACAACAGCATTGTTATGGCATAGCTAAAAGGAGTTAAATTAGGATATTCATAGAATGAAAAATGAAAGAAAAAAAACAACAACAAAAAAGTCTTCAAATTTTTAATTTTCTCTACAGGACACCCAGAGACAACATTTTAATTTCACGCAATCTATAAAGTCCACTATTTATACATGACTGTAAGAGGGAAAAAAAAAAAGATTCATTTAACTGCAAAGGACAGAAGTGGACAGACCATATCACTCAATCAGTAAAGCTTCTTCACTATACTTTTGACACAGCCCCAAAAACTGACCAAATTTGAACACAACTTGAAGCAATGAACCAACCAAAAATGGACTGACATGATGAAGAAAGTATAAAGGTACACATCCAATTCAAACTGGCAGTAGAAAATGTCAACACAGCAACAATAATGTGCAGGCCAGCCAATTTAAGTAGCATGGGCAACAACTGATATGGTGGCTTGCAGGATGAAACCGCATCTCACTGCAGTGTGGACCAGCAAATGCGATGCACCAAGAGCCAACAGTCAGAAGAAGAAACTGCACTAGCTGCAGTGCCTTGAAAACTTGTGAATGAAACACCCATGACTGCATAGTTGGATCAACAAACAAAAATATGTCCCATTATGGGCACAAAAATTTACATTTTTAAAAAAAAGAAGAAAGAAAAGAAAAAGAAGCAAAGGGACCGATTGCATTAAAATATTAAATTATTATAAGCGAAACCAGCAGGAGCAACAGTACAATGAGTAGGCTAGACTAGAGAGGTCACTACTCCCTGGCCCTAAGAGTTAAGTAACTGAACACATTTACTTGCTGAAACAAAAAAGATAAATTTGTTTTATATGACGTTCTGTAAACACTCAAGGGGAAAAACCTATCAGACACGACTGTACACATCACAAGTTGAAGTATTCTTAAAGAAAAAGATTACATTTCTTTTCCTCCTTCGTATGCAGGTTTTCAACATTCTGTAACAAAAGAAGGTGTGAATAAAACATGCAATCTCACCAAGAGCATAGAAATCGGAGCCTAAAAATCAGTATAATAATAGTGATAAAACATGCAAAACTTGAGATCAATAAGCAAAAGGCCCACAGGGATATTGTGTCAATTTCACTTCTATCATTCAAAGGAAAGGAAAGATTATCCTTTTTCCTTCTAGTTATAGGTTGGGTGAACCGGGAAAAGAGATTAGTCATATCTTTATACAAGGTCTGAAGGTTTGACACAGTTCTGATACATATGATAAGCATATCATTCAGGTCATGTTAAGAAATTTGAGTCGGAAGGAAAGCTACTGAAATTCTGTTTTTCATGGCACCTTACATTAATTATAACCCCAAATATCAGTAAGACTTTATACTGAATCAATCATAATAAATAACCTTATCCATCTTCATAAACAGAAAAATGTTCATTATGTAGCAAATTTGACCTAGCTTTTCTGAGTCAAAATTCAAAAGAATATCATTATCCTTTGATTTGTCTTGACTGTCATTTTTACCATACATCTGATCTAAACAAAGCACATGCATAACAAAAAGATCCTCTATGACTGTTTTAGGAAAAGAACAAAAACTACATTTTCATTTTCTATTCAAGAAAGAAAATTTATGAGATAGAATTACTGCAACAAATGTCTTCTTTAGAAAGAAGTGCAAAAGAGAAAGTCTTTAAAAAATTTAACTGCAAGTACAAAACCATCAGTTCCGATAATCCAAATATTCACAATGGCTTCTGAAGGTAAATACAAACTGCCTGAACATTTAATAAGACATCATTTCTTCAAAGCTTGCTCTATGAATGACAAAAAACAAAACAGACAAGCTAATTCACAGTAAGCTTTAAAAAAATACATAATAAATTACGTTATTATAATCAAACCATGCTTTTTGATCAGTCAAAAAGTTCATTATATAAAGTTTTAAAGCAAAAGCAAAAGGAGAAAAATAGTATTACAGAAGAATCTGGGCACCAGTCCAGATTTATCTGTCATTTAATAATGGCACCTATCACAAACATTTGAAGAGCAATGGTAACTGCGGACAGCAAGTATTATGAGGCTTCACAAATTAGAAATACTGAAGCCAAGGGAGAGACACTCGCAAGCTGCGCACAACCACGAGGAGAAATGAAGTTTTCAATTGCCATAATGTGGCCACCTCTTGTCTGCCAGAATTGGTATCAGTGGCCACAGCAGAAGTGACAAATCATTTTAACTCTCATTTCATTTAATCTATTTTGCTTAGAAAATGCATATGTCATCGTAGGACACTGACTGCTACTATCATCATCATAAACATAGAATTTCTCCATTGTATCTCTCTAGGAATGGAGGAAAAAGGTTGAATAAATGTGAAGCGTGCTGACAAAATGAGTTACTTTTCGCAACGCACAAATGGAAAAGTTAGCCAAAAATCGACAATAGGCTCAAATTTGTAGATTTCCTATTGATGCCACATTTTTAAAGAATAACATGCCTTTTATTATTTCATACTTATTACAAATAGTAAAAACTTCACCTATAAGCTTGAAGTATCTATTTCCATAGGTCTCGAATCACAGAAGTAACTCTTTTTGTCAGCACCCTTCACAAATGATTTTGACTGGCCTCAAAATCTCTTTTTTTTTAAATATGTGTAACATTTTCCTCACATCTAGATCAACCAATCTCCTAACAACCAGATTCTACTGTAATAATAAATAAAAGTCAACAAAAGCGTTTAAATAATTTATGACTTTTGCTCAGTCATGACGAATAGTCTACATCCGATTTATCTATCCAACATGCATGCTGCCAGAGAGGGTTAACTGCTGAGATATCCTTCGTCGACACTGAGCAAGGCATGTTCTTGCGACAATGCCGCCAGCTCCTTGAGGAATTCATCCAGCACCAGAGCACAGTACACAGCATTCCACGTGGACAGACCCGGGGTTGAACCCGAACCGTCCGCATCACCGCCCAGCTCACTGCCATCTCCGTGGCCCTGAGAGCTGTTGAGGAAGCGATAGGATGCGCTACCACCAACCTGCAGGAAAACAAAGGGGAGACACGGATGCAGAGTGTTTTAAATACAAAAAGGTCACATAAGTGCCAAAAATTAGAGGTGTTACTTCCAGAGAGTAACATACAAAGAAAATAAGGAGAGATAGAAATTATAGATGTTTGATAGGAAAGGAAGGGACAAGCCACACCAGAGCACCTGTCAATCACACATGTCCATATGTTAAATTTAAAGTGATACAGGAAGTACAGTGGAATTCTGTTATAACGAAAGGGATGGGACCAGTGCGAAATGTCCGTTATAGCAGGATTCTCGTTACAATGGATCCAATAATAAATTCAAGGGAAATGGTATTAAAGTAGGCCTAATCTATGAGTTTGGCGCTCTGTTTATTCCTTTTTGTATTTCCCCTGATGATGATTTGTTCAACATGATCTCTAGGTCTTACTTGATCAAAAATCGAATTAGGTTTCTTTCTCTAGCACTAGCAATGTTGACAGCTCGGCGTTGGCGATCAGAAAAAAGGGGGTCTGGCTCTAGGCTAACTCGCCCGCTGTGTTGTCCCCCACCCCACCACACCCTGTGGTGCGTTGCGTCTGCTTGCACACGTCACACATTCACTCCATCTATCACAGCATTGTGACCTCTCCATCCCGCACCAGAGAAGTGAGAGGCACGGTATGCTTAGATAATCTAGACTGAGCTGGCCTATCACACGATGCGTTCTGCTTGTCTGCGCATGCCACTCACTCCCCACTCATTCGCTCCGGCCTTCATTGTTGGTTCGCGTGGGCTCTCCTATTCTTAATTTCGCTGGATCATCAACAACTTTCTCAACTGGCAAGGTTTTTATAATATGTAATTGGTCTGTGCGCTGTGCACAGCAGCAGCAATATTCCGTTAAAACCGACTTGCGTGACGGTCTGATGGCGCAATAGCAGTATTTTATTTACAAAGATAAAGGAGAAAAAACGGGGTTTTAGAATAGAGTCTTTATAACAGTTGTTTCAGGACTCGTTATAAGTGGACTCCACTGTAAAACATCAAGACAACAGTTGAAAACTAATGAACATTATTCACGGCAAAGTCTCTGGCAAAGGCTAATCATTTTCCATTTTGACCAATCTAAAAATAAAATAAGGTATTTGACCTTTGTCCCTAAGAACACCAAGGTTCCCACCAAGATTACACTAGTTCTCCTGGGTTCCTGATTCATGGGATTGCACCGATGGTCAGGTTCGAGGCAGTAGTGGGTTTTCGGGGCACAGAGACCTATGGCCCTAACCGAAATATCAGTATTTTGGTGTTGTACCAGTTCCCCTGGGTTACTGATTAGTTTCACTCATGGGTTTCGTTCATGGACCAGACAGTCAGGTAGTAGTGGAACACAGATGTATCAGGCATTTGAGGCACACAGACCTATAGCCCAGACCAAAATATCTGTATTTTGGGTTCATAATGATTAAGCCACGTTATAGTATCAGTATCCCATTCAAAGCTACACAATAAACAATACCTGAAGCCTCTGCAGCTGTGGGTGCTTGCTGTTCTTGCCCATTAAAAGCTTGTCTTTTCCCGGAGAGCGACGGAAGATCAGGTCACTGAGGGACACTTTCTTTTTCTCTGCTGTCGATTGATCAACATGAAAAGAAAGAAAGCATACCAAAATAGATACAGAAAAGAACTAGAAACAGAAAAACAGTTAAAAAATTTTAAGCAATTTTTTACAAAATCACACGCACACTTTGTTTCCTCACTCATTTTTGGGGCACATAATTTCTTATCTAAACAAAATGAAATTTAAAAGTTAAAAGGTCGGCAAAATTGTTTGTTTTTTGTTGTTTTTTTCATGCAAGAAGACACATAAACAACACACTGAGAATACCCCCCAAAAATAGGCACCTAAAAATTTCAAGGCTGTTGGCTTAAGCTCAGTTTCTTTTAAAACTTTGCACTGGCAAAACATTCAGACCAAGAGAGGATCAAACTGCTATAAATCTGGCCATAGAATTGGGGCAGGATAAACCTTCAGTAAAACAACTGGAACAGCAGCACGCATTCTGTATCATCATCCTTTCTCACATAATGAAGTGAGTGCAATGTAGGTGCTTCGGTGTGCATTTGCATCCAGTGATGTCAACAGCACACTGTCAAAATGGTGGACACTTTTGGTAAGATCACATTGTATATGCACTTTCTCAATTACCCCTAAAATGGCTTCAGATTATCATCACCAAGACACATCACTTGATCAGAACAATCTGTTGATGCGATTAACAGGTCAGCCTTGAGTAATCTTGTTAACTGATATAAAATGAGCATTTGACCTCTAGAGAGCTTCTTTCGTAGTATTTGTCTCCCACTTCCACCCCCCCCCCTCCCACCACACACACACAGAAAAAAAAATCCAAATTGAGGGTAAAGAATTATAAGTAATAGTTGGGAGTCAAATACACCACACTAGAGTCTTTAGTATATAATTCTCACGTCGAGTGAAATGGAATAGGTGACTGCATGGATTTCCATGAAATATGTCTAAAAATTGTTGCCTGCAGATTGAAAAAAAAAAATTATTTAAAAGAACGAATATAATTAGTCGCAGTAAGCACACCTCTTGGGATAGCCCCTCCTAGAGTGTCAGCTCTCAGCCGCTGTGGCTGCTTCTGCTGCATCTGCTGTTGCTGTTGCTGCTGTTGAATGTTCTGGGGCATGAGACTGCTGGGCAGACTGCCGTAGCCTCCCATGGGCCCTTGCTCCAGAGCTTGGTACAACTGCTCTTCCCTCTGCTCCAGGTTGTGGCGGGCACGGCTCACCAGGCTGTCAAACTGCTTGACCGTCACAGAGTAGCTGTCCAGCTTCTGCCGCAGGGAGGACAGCACCTGGGAGGAACAGAGGTTGCTTGTTTTAGGATGCATGTAAGCAAATATTTTTTTTAAAATACGCAGACACAAGAAAAATAAAATAATAAATAGCATTTGCATTGCCTATAACCCCACTGAACAACATGACCTAGGTGTTTTGCAATCTATATTAGTACCCCAGTAAATCCTGGAAAACTCAACCCCCCTCAACTACCTGGGAAGAAAACAAAGCAAGCAGCTGATAACCTTCCTTTAATTCGAACTGACTTCACCTATTCTGGGAGCTGGGCAAAAAGCCTAACCACAGACTCAAGTCCAAAATTCAGCACACCTAATTACATAAAACCTTTTAAAAAGCCAAGTCTCACTTGTACCACAGACTCATGTGCAAAATTCAATAAATTCATAGTTAAAAAATTTTTAACAAGGCTACAATGGCAGGGGTGGGCCACAAAAAAACTTGGTAGGGTGGTGTCAAAGAGGTTCTCCAACAGAATAAGATATCTACAACAGAAGCTACCCACCTAGCCCTTGCCCAAACTAAAATGCCCCTAATGATTCATGACAATGACAATCTTCATTCATCTCGCAGGGAGAAATTTGTTTTGGCCGTTAACAATGCTAGTAGATGTTACAAAGTAAGGTGCACTCATGCATGCGCACAACAAGACAGGACATTAGAAAAAATGTCTCATGTGCTGGGACAACTCGCTCCGTAAAACACTCTCTCTCTCTCTCTGTTTCATTTGTAGCACTGTGTGTTCAGTAACTTCGCTGCAGTTGGTACAAATGAATTTCTATATCTATATATATATGAAGAAAGGAAAAAATTAAAAGTTAAAAATTTTTTAAGAGGCACTTGGCCTTTCTCACTCACCTGTACCAGTGACTTGACAGAGGGCTGGAACACCAGGTTATGAGTCAGCAGGAAGGAGCGCAGCAAGGGCTGTGGGTATGCGGCAAGGCGAGACAGCACGTCTGTCAACAGCAGGTTGAAGTACAACGAGTTCCCCAACATGCCATCCAGCCTCAGTAGCAACGCTGACAAGAAAGGGCCTGAGGGGGCAAAAGTGTTGCAGCTGAATATTCAGTATTTGCTTCCCTGGCCCCTTCTAAAATCCATAACCAAAAAAAATTAAAGGGTTTTTTTTTGTTCCTGAGTATCCAAAGACAAGCACATCTAAACAGTAACTGCTCTTTAGTGCTGGCAAAAAGCAGGATAGATTTTTTTTAAAATGGCACTTACAACACAACTAGATCATACAAGTGCCGAAGCATAGAGTTGTTATTTGAGTGTAACATACAAGACCTGTCAGAACAGAATGAAGAAGCAAACCACACCAGAGCACCAGCCAGCCACCAACAGGACTACAGCAACAAAGAGCAAACAGAAAGCAACAGACCACTAAACTGAGAAACATATTCTCCCTATTCTGACAGTATAAAAAAAAAGCCATAAAACTGCTTCTTTTGCATCATTAGCACAGCACTCTTTGGGTTTTCTTCAAAAAATATTTTTGCTCAAATCCATACTGTTTCAGTAAACAGAAGTACATCAACACAATGAGATTCATTTAGTGCAAGGAAAAAGCAAGACAAACAGACAGACAGAAAGACAGACAGAAAGGCAGACAGACAAACTGAGAACGAGGAAAGAAGTAGGACCTACCAGAGATGCCCTCCAATCACCCGCCCATCCTTTTATCACTATAACTAGACATATACTATATCTGCACAATGGCCATCACACACAGATGCACACAGGAACATGCACAAAAAGCCAGACCACAGGGAGGACAATATTCGGGACACAGCTTTTAAAAAGTCTCAAAGAAGGAGCCCTCCGTAAAAGAAGCAACACAAGAAAATCAGAAGGAGAATAAAAAGTGAGTGACAACTAATGAAGTTGAGAGCAGTGAGCATGACTCCATCATTGTTCAAGATTGGAGCACTATGCATTCTCTGAGCTATATATCTTGTGTAAACTTTTTTCAGATCAACTTTCACATATCAATTGCCATCTTTAATTGAACCTATTGGTATTTTTTTTTACATCATTCGAGCCTGCAAGTGCTTCAAATAAAAGTCGCTTGCACAAAACAAACCCAAAAAAACCCCCCACCCCACAAACAGTATTCTTCTTTTTTCCGCCGTTCCCCTGCTAGAGAATGGGGGACAAATGCAAGTTAATGTCTTCATTTCACACTGCAGCTGATTTTTACTTACTTGACAGAATCATCCCTTGCCTGGAAGGCAGCCAAGGGCCATTTTCGAAGGTACTCTTAATATTCATGGTTAACAGAGCTGATTAAAGTGAGTCCGCAACACTATGACAGTTACCTGTCTTTAGGAGAACATTGGGAAAATAGTTTAAATAGTAATGCTGAAAAGTTGACACACTCAGTGAGCCCATCAACTACCCGAGCAAGAGAGACAAGACGGAAATTAATTTTACGTCGGACTTATGGTTAAATTTTGCCCAATGAGCACCCAAAGAGCCTACCCTTTTTCATTTTAGAACCACTAAGAAATCCTAAAAGTGTAGAACTTCCACACACGACCTAAAACAATTCTCATCCTTATCCGAGAGCATCAGGCGCTTGATTCTACCTACCTTAGACTCTGAGGTTTTGAAAACATGGGGGGAAAAAAACGAAGCTGACAGGGATTGAACCCTGAAACTCTGGGCTGACAGGTGAGCACCATACGTGTTGAGCTACCGAGCCCCAAAGAGAAGAGGGATCTTCTTCTTATTCTCATTTATCTCCAAATGGACATCCCAATTTCTAGGGCAAAGGCTGCTGTTTGCTGCAGGTCCTCCAGGCCCCCATAGAGTTTAGTGGGATGAAATGCAGGTATGTTTTGAAATACAAGAACTCACTGATACGTTGGAGTGGGCAATTGACCCAACCAGAAACTTACCAATATTCGGTGGATCGTTGAGGTACCGGAGTTGTTTCTTCGAGCCAGGACTTGATGGCGTGGTGGCCGGAAACTCATCGGAGGGAAACAGCAAAGACTTGAAAGAGGATGACATGTCTCCTGGTGACAGGACCTGCTTCAACGGCGACAGAATGGACGAGGCCGACATAGCATACAGTGGGTTGGGGTGTGACGCGAATCCCTTAGGGAAGTCTTTAGGCACATTTCGTTCACTCTTCGTTGTACTGACGGGCACAGATACAGTCCCTGAAGCCCTATCATTAGCAGCGGAAGTTGCAAATTTTTTCTCATTCGACTCTGAGGCTAAGGGTGGGGGAGAGGTTGCAGCGCTACCGCTGTCATTACCAGGCACGATGGAAATATCCACAAGACTGGACGCTTCTGGATTTGGCTGCTTCTTCTGCATAGTGACTTTCACGTCAGAGGGCACTTCAGACATGCTGATCTGCTCAAATGCCGTCCTGTCTCCTTTTGACATCTGAGACGCCTCTGCTTTTGGGAGGTCATTCACAGGAATCTCAGACTGACTCACAAAAGTGAATTGTGATTTGTCCGGGGGAATGGGGCTGATAGAGGACACGTCAACACTGCTGGACAGACTGCCTGCCGTCACGTCCCCACCTTCCTTGGCACTGCTGCATCTCTGGTGGCTTCCCAGCGCAGCAGCATCCAGTATCTCATCCAGGGACGCCAAGCTCTTGTCCAAATCATGGCCGCTGGCATCCGAGCCCTCCTCCGATGAGAGCTCTTGATCGTACAGGTAAGCCATGAAAGAGTCCAGGCTGTCTAAACTTGCGTAGAGCTTGGGATCACCAAACTGAGTGGCCTCTGGGCCATTTGTTATATTGCACTTCCCGTCGCTATCAGAGAACACAGAATCATCATCAACATTAACATTGTTCGACTTCAGGTCAAAGGTCACGCGGCTCTCACTCGAACGAGTGGGATCCTCTGCCGTTGCACCTTCCCCCATAGTCTTTTTCAATATAGAACCAACCTCTATGAAGCCCGTCTTAGGAACAGAATCTTCCGGTTCCTTCAATGCTGAGCCATTGTCTCCTTTCTTTGTAGACGCAGCACCCTCCTCTGCTTTCTCTGAGGAGCTAATGCTATCAGGTGGCGGACTCTCCCCGTCATACTTGAACAGCCAGTGCTGGCACGCCTGAGCCGACTGGTCGAGCCTATGCCTCGCGTCGTGCAGGTATTCAAAGTAGCAGCTCTCCTTCTGCTGATCCCCCGAACCCTGGTCTGCAGAAGCTGTCTTCCCAGGTCCAGCATTGCCCGGTGGGGTGGGGCCAGAGACTCCTGATGCTGAAGGCCTGCACAATGGTAAGAAAGAAAACGTTTCCACTTCCGTAATGAACGTATAGTAAACGATTGCAATCGTACAACAAAAGATTTAATTGTAATAAAGCAATAAAACTTAGCAACAAGATAAAACACTTTAAGTTAATTGTCAAAAAATGGCACTGCAACTTTTCTTTTCTTTTATTGGCCCAACTCAAGACAGTCCTTTATTTTACATATAGTACAACTTATTTCTATTCAGAAACAAAATACTTTTTTGTTCGTTTCAATGAACTTAAACCCAATTATATTTGATATGAGATTTAGAAAAGATCATAAGTCAACCAACGGAGCGCCTCACCACTTCTATGAGTAAAAAGAAAAGAGATCCCCAGCAAAGAGCACCGGGCTGACAGGAAATACTCCAGGAAAGACAAGAAATTTCATAAAACACTCCTATCAATACCAAGAACTTCCCAGGGATTAGCTCATTATGTGACTAACTATGCCTTAGTTAAGTTTGATTTTTTTTTTACATTAGTTCCTTCCTCTTGAAAGTTATAAATACAGCACTTCATAAAAATATACATACTTATTTAATAAACTCCCTGCAACTTAATATTTAAATGAAGGACTATCTTACATCTCTAAAAGTATTTATACTTTTAAAAATTACAGCAGGAAGATAAAAAGTAAACTTGAGTGGGGTCATGATGCATATACGAGGACCTACAAACTTACAATTGAAAATACTAATCATTTCAATTTGTCCCTTCGAAGTTGCACCTTCTGCAGACGAAGCAGTGGGTCTATTTATATCCCCCCGACCCACTGGGGGTATCTTTTTTTTTTTTTTTTTGTAAATGAAAGATCAAATACAATAAGTGGGTCATGAGAACCTTTACTGATTCTATAAAAATGCGGACATGCAAATGTTTCTTAATAAGAGACAAACGTAGAAGTATGTTCCTCTCTCCTTCCTTCTCCGACAGAGATCCCAGCTCAAACGATAACATTTCACAGGGACTACATGCATGCGGAATGTGCTTGGGTCAGCATGCAACATTGGCAACTGGCAACATCCTTTTCAATAATGTTCAGGGAAAAACAAGGAAGAGGGTACTGGTAACATAATACCTCCATCCCTCCCCCACCCTTTTCACACATAGTTATGAAAACAGCCCTGTATTCTGTTCCTACTCCCAAGAGTGACCCAAATATCGCCCACTACATCAAACAGTCCAAAATGGAAGGGGGGGGGGGGGTGTTGTTATACTTTCTTTTTACAGGGAAGGGGGAATAACTTGGCATGCCAGGAAGGGGAACATGAATGTTGTGAGCAAAAAAAGCGTGTTACCAGATTTTTGTGGCCTTAGAAAAATTCTCTCCAGTATAAGTTCAGCTGTTAGTGGCTAGTTGACAATTATAAAGAGAACATTCATTTTGCTGATTAGCTTCATAAGGGACAATGTTTTGAAAAGCTTATTATTATGAAAACTAAGTACTTTTCAAACCTGCTGAATCTCATTGACTACATGTGCTGACATCAACACTATGGAGGGGATGGGGGATAGAAACTTTTAAAATGAGAATAGAATGCATTATAAAAAATATAAATACCTTCAAAATTAAATCCTTTTAATATTCAAAGGTGAAAATGCAAAATGTAGCACTACATCTATTACTAATGCTCCAACTTCCCACATTAAAAGACTGATGTGGTAGACTTTGTTTAACTCAAAGATATTCTGGTTTTTACAGTATGAAACATCATCTCAGCTGAAAAACCTATATCCCAACATGCAAATCGTCAGCCAGTTGTTCAGATTTGTACTAAACCCAAACTTTTGAAAAGTTTTTTTTACTGCAGTGCAGTTTCTTAACTCTTTATCTCCGAAAACAGGTCTCTTTTATCGGGATTTCATTCATTAGATAAAAAACTATCAAAATAAGTTCACTTGTTTTGATTTAATGACCAACTTAGAGACGTTTTAGTCATTTTTAGATTTAGAACCAAAAAAGACTCCGCGGAGATAAAGAATTAATCTGTAGTATCAGTTGCATATACTTGAGTGAAATATTTGGTCGAAATTCCAATACTTAATACTTAAATGATCATGGAAAAGATACAATGCGTAAGAATAATTTTTATAAAATACGAAGCACATTTTTCCTCTCTCCACAAATTTGCATTCAGGGCTTACTTAGAACATTTGAACAACTTGCTGACAAATGTCCTCACAACACAAACTTTCACTAGGTCAGCACCAGGCTTGCATAAAATCTCCCAGAGTGCCACACACACGAAAACACAGCGTGCCTTCACCTTTGCGATTGTGCCGAGGTGTTCATGCCTACAATGTGGGGTAGGGGTGCAGGGGTGGCGGAGTTGGCAGGGCTCTGGCCCTGGCTGGAGGCTGGGAGGCAGCACACAGGCCGCAGGGAGAGAAACTTCTCAGCCGACTTGCCGTAGAGGTCCAGGTCTCTGACCGACCGCCTCTGGCTGACCATCACATGAGTACAAGGCACTAAGTATCTGAGGAAATATGAAGAAGGATTAGCTTGAAAATATCTTTGAATAGGATTCGGAAGACCAGAGATATCTCACTTCGAACAAAGTCGAGGACTTTTAATTCAAAAGTGAAGTCAGTCTAGTTGTATGGATGTGAGACACGGAACGCATCACAGACTAGCATAAAGAGGATCCAGGTTTTCTTGAACAAGTGTCTAAGAAAGTTACTGAGGATCAGATGGACAGACAGGGTCACCAACGAGAAGGTGTTAAGGAAAACAAGACAGATCCCAGTCAGAGATGAGCTAGGAAGAAGGCGGTGGCGATGGATTGGACATACTCTCAGGAAGTCAGTCTGCTGCATAACAAAGAAAGTGTTGGATTGGAAACCACACACTAAGAGATCAAGGAGAAGACCGCATGGAAACTTGAGAAGAATAACAGAAATTGATGTACAAAAAAGAGGGAAGACATGGAATAACACCAAAAGGCTAGCCCCCAGGATAGAGAAAGGTGGAAAGTGTATGTCCATGGCCTATACACTGGTCCACGGTGAGAAAGGCAATGATCATGATGATGATTAGCTTGAAAAACAAACGGATAATGATGGCCAAGTTTCCCTTTGATTTGATACTTTATAATACAATGGCTCGTTATTTCTGAGATAGACTGTCATGAAAAGCTTGAAAGCTTGTTGTTGATTTTTCAGCCAGTTTTCTCATAAACAGAGCCATTCACGGCTGATTGGTCTTGCAGCTGAAAGGCAGACCCTGCTCATTTTGAGCACATGAAGTTTGGAACTGCAGGATGTACTTCAACTTCCTGTTTAATGCTTTAAATAGCACGGAAGGTCCATTTTTATACTACCTCTACTTACATACCAGCGGTCACATCAATGTAGGCGCACTAAACGGTCATGGGATCAAAGCATCCACTCCATTTTCAAGAAAATCAGTCTTTTCATCCAGATGTTAAAAAAGTATGTCTACAGATATGAAGACACTGACCAATAAATAACGTAAAGAAAGAACAAAAAAAAAAGAGGGCTATTCCACGGTAACTGCCATGACATTTGGACTCTTCCTTCGTTACAATGATAACACTGCAATTAAATATCAATTAATTTATTTCAACTTTAAATAATCAGAACATTTGAAAGACATATTAAGAATCATATTAAATGCAGTAATTTGAAAACAAAAGTACTTAATGCAAATTCTGTGACGCGTTTAGTTTCTGTAACTGACGGTACGAATGAGATCAACCTACCTGAAAACAAGTTGAAACATGACGTCTTCACAGTTCAGGTCAATCAGGGTATGGAACAGGGCAAGGGTTACTGTAGATAACTGAAAAAAACCCACAAAAATAGTTCTTTAAAGAAAAAAAAACCAGCATAAAGACACTATTACTTTTCAATACGATAATTATAAAAATAACACATTTTTATAGCGTCATGCTCTACAGCAGGCCATGTGCACTTTACAACTATTATTACTCCAGTAGACCTTTGAAAACTCAGAAACATGCTCGGCTTATCAGAAAGCATACACAAATAAAGGAGTAATAACCTCCCTTCCCCCTTCAACCCAAAGTTTGTATTTACTTGAACAAAGGGTCGAGAAAAATTGGAAAAATAATATGTGATAACAATATATATTTTCTATGCCACTGAGCTTTACTTGCCAGTGCAATACAGCTATGAAAAGCACAAAAAATATGACATGTGACCAAGCCCAGACCCCTCTTTCTCTCTCCCCTTTCCTCCCTCTCTGTCTCTCTCACCACCTCACTCCCCCGGGGCATTTAGGCATTTGTTCGAATACAGATAACTCACCCTTTTGAGAACTTCCATGTCTGGTATTTTACTCTGCCATTTGATGCCAAGAAAGGTAAATTTTAAAAATATCGTTACTATAATCATTCCTATTGTTATCACTACTACCGAGGTGTTCGAAGTGATCCTGGAAAGCAGTGAATCCAGGAGGAGGACATCATCGTAGCGCTCCGTGAGGACAAACTTCAGGACGGCTTTCAACAGGTTCGGGTCGGTCACATGTCTGATAAACAGCTCCAGGTATGCTGTGGCCGTCATCACTTCCTCCCGTGAGATCTGTTGAAAGAGAATAGAGAAAAGCGACTGGTGAACCTCACTTTATAAAAGCATAAGATATTCATTCATAATTAGTACATTTTCACTTGAAGGCTGGGAGAAAAATAACCCTCGTATACTTATTCTTTTTTAATACTATCAAATCAAACTTCTTGTTTACTGTTCACTTTAACACACTCCGAGTCAGTGTTTAAAGGATTAAACCCATTACAAAGTGAGAGCTCCTTTATACATTTATTTTATTTTATTTTATTTTTTACATTTTTCACATTTCCAGTGGACTTCTCCCTTTTTTTAAAGTGACAACAATTATTTACAAGAAGAATAAAAGCTATTTTATAATAGGGAGAAATAGAGTGACTTAATGTTTCCTTTACACACAAAACAGTTTTTTTTAATGTGTTGGCGTTATTTGTAACTTAGGCTGAAGTCTATTGATAGATGTCATTGTTTTTCTCTTTGGACTCCTTTCTTGTATTAAAAGAAGGAAGGTTAAGGTTGGGAATGGGGATGAGTACAGTGATTACAATTTTTTAAAACCCACACATTTGTTTTGGCAGAGAAAGTATTATATGGATGCAACTCAAAATGCTGTATCTGATACTTTTCTGAAGTAAACTAAACACAAAAACCATCATCAAAAGCCAGAGCTAATCACAGAAGGCAAAAGTAACAGCAACAGAGGCATTCACAGGTGACGCTGTAATAGAATGCAGAAAGCTTTTCATTTTAATTGTATGAAATTGAAGGGTGACATAAGGGCTCAAAGAATCCACCTTGAAACTGAAAATAAAAACAACTGGAAAACTTCTATAAAATAAAAAGAAAGCTAAAAGGAAAACTGGACGGTTCACTGTAAGGATTTTAACACTTCAGAAACAGCAGGGTTTTCAAATAAAAGTAAAATATCTATTCAGCAAATGTAACAATAATGTTAATTACATGTAAATATCAAGATCACAAAAGCCAACACAGGGTGAAATATAATGCCCCTAATAAGGTAACATGGTGGACACACAAAGAACCTTACAAGAAAACAGATGTATAAAATGACTCCAAACATCATATGTCTGCAGCTCAGTTTCTTTTTTTTTTTTTTATGTGGCTGTTTTTAAACCTCCATCATCACAATAGCCCCAGGAGAAAGACTGAGATACCCTATAAAATGTTCCCCATACAGGAATTGAATTCCGGTCTTCTGCATGCAACAGTGAAGCATATAGCAGCTGCACAACAGACGCCAGTTCTCAGTTTCTACCATAAACCATTTGAAAACCTGTCCATGTCTCTTTAAAGACATAACAGTGCCTCAAGTAACTGCAACAAGCTCACTGAAATGCCTTGGCTTACATTTAAGAAGAAAGATTACCAAACAGCAAAAAGTTGTTGATACATCCATCCACTTACTTTATCCACCCAAAGGCAATAAATAGATTGAAGCAGGAAACAAGAAAGGAAACGGTAACAGAAACACTGAATAGTGCCATTCCGACCAACATAAAAAAAATTTTTTAAACCACAATCATATACCCGATCAAAAGTGTCAAAATGAAAACAAATCAAGAAAATCACTGGGAAATCAATACATGAACCCAACATTACTATATAAGGAAGAGATTTTTCTTAAATACATGTCTAAAAACAAAACGCCAGAAAAAAGAAGAGAAACCATCTCATACAACTCATAAAACCAAGGAAATAAAACTTTCAATCCAAGTTAGTTTGAGAAAAGAAAAAGAAAAAAAACACCACTGATGTGTAAAAAAACCCTCCATATACCAATCCACTCATAAGCACCAGATATCACAGAGGAAGGATCTAACCTCTCAGGGATTTGAGGAACATAAAAATTCATAGAAAAATTTAATCAGAAAACAGAATCTAATTTTAAACTTTTTTTTATTTTGAACAAACCCAGTGTCTGAGGGGAAAACAAGTATTTGTCACCACACTGACAAAGTGTTAGAAACAGAATTAAAAGATTCACAAAATTATCCAGTCTTTGAACCATGCAAATCACCACACTTCTATACACTGTCACTAACAACAAACATGCCCAATAGAACATCGTCTCAAAATAAAATTTGGCAGGATGACCCAATCTCTTCAATTTCAAGACATTCCAAAATCACTGAACCAGATTACCATGAAAATAAGTATATAAAAGAAACTTTAAAAAAAATGTTTTTAACAAAACAATGCATACTTTCATGATGCTATTTAAATCTCAACATTATACACAGTCTAAAGAAGGAAGTAAAGTTTTGATAACAGATGCAGACAGAATTAAAGCACTTTCAATTAAGAGACATAGGCTTAGCTTAGTCTATCTTCAACATTTGGAGTCATGACACCAGAGCATCTTTGACATGTTAATGGCGCCGGATTTAGGCATGAAAACGATTTTCCTTATATGACGTATCCTTGAACTTGTTAAAACTCCCCTCAGACAAATGCCCATAGAATGGATGCTAAAAAACAAAGTTACAGTTAAAAAGAAATCTACCTTTACTTGCACACACTTTAAGCTCTAACTGAGTCTTTTCAGCAAAGAGAAGCAAACTGTCAAACTTATAGTCATTTAGCACTGAGAAAAAGCAAGACAGACAGACAGACTGATAGAAAGAAAAGAGGAAAAGTAAAGAACTACGACCTACCAGTGGTGGCCTCCAACCACTAGCACACTCAAAGCAAATTTAATGTCTACCATGAAATATCTTTAACCAGCACAAAGCCTACGAAATTTTAGGGACACATCAGGAACTACAAAAAAAAAAAAAAAAAAAAAAGTCGCGAAACATTTAATCTACATTAACATACGTCATGTCATAAGCTGAAGAGTGCATTGTAAGAATCAGTACAAGCTAAGGTGCAGATTTTTTTCAAAACCAGTCTGATTTTAGGAAAGCAAGAAAGAAATACACTCATCTAATGGAAAAGCCTCATTAACATAAAGCACCTCTATAAAGCTGGAAAATATTTTTTCTTAGAAACTGAAGAAAGTAACACAAACTCTAAAGAAAACTCAAGGAACAAACAACTCCTGCTTAACATAATGGATTCTTCTATAATACATTTACCATTCAAAAACAAGAACATATTTAATTACATGTCCAAACTCCTATCAGTAATATGGGTTTGCCATGAAGGACAGGATACATAACTAAAAGTGAAAGCCATTAAGGCTATTTGACGCCACATGATTCTAAAACAAAATAACTGGTACCATAGATCAGTGACAGACCTAGGCTCGGAGAGATAAGTAACTTCTGCATGAAAAAGGCAAACCTTGTCATTGATGAGCCTGTCACGAAACACAAAAGTACATGCCCTGACACACACCAAAAAAAAAAAGATTGTAAAAAGATTGTGAAATAAGAGAGTCTAGCCGGGCTTGCACAAAGCTATGGTGGACATTTATAACGAGCAAGGGAAAAAAGTGAAAGACCTTAAAATACTTTAATGAAATCTGACCACTTTTAAAACAAATTGTAGAAAGAGCAGAGTAGATAAGGAGTCTTGAGTAATTTTCAGTCAGATATTGTAAAGCAAAATTTGGTAACTAAAACGGTTCGAAGGCTATTTCAGAAATTATAGATGAAGTTATGGACGGCATTCAAGTACCATTGACAAATAAGAAATTCAAGTTCACAATAAAATCAGTCCCGGCTAAATGCTGCACTGTCTCAGTATTTGCTAAGTACCTCTTTAAAAAGTACATTTTTGAAAAACTATTGTACAAGCATTGAAATGATTATAAGGTTAATTACTGTTTAAATTGAATAAAATTACAAAAGAACTTCTAGCTGAATAGGTCAGTAATTCTGTAATTAAACAGATGTCACAGATATGTTAACACCATCACCATACTGCACACACAACAGCAAAGGGCTGCATGACTTATCATTACTGTCAAACAATACAGACATTATATAAATGCAACAACAATGTAGAATAGAAACTGGTCACCATATTAGACACACATTATCAAAGGGAGACAACTCAATTCACGAGCACATGGCAAGAAAAGGGGCAAAGATGGAAACAAAATTCTAAATAATAGCAACAACAACAAAAAAAAAATCTCAGAAGAAACACCTTCAAATCACCAAAAGGGTCGAAAGAAATAGAATAAAAAATAAGTAGATGAGAGAAGCATGAAGCAAGCCAGACATTTCATGCAGGTGACCAACTGACCCTGAATAAATCTGTGTCAAGCAATGGAATCGGAAGGCCTGTAATATCCTGGAGGGGAATGACACGGTTGGTCAGTCTGATAATAATTGTAGTGATAATGATGACAGCGTTTTTAGTATGAGCAACAGCAGCATCGATACCAGTTCCCTCCGGCATACATCTAATCTCATCCCCTTCAAGATTTGTTGACTGTTCCACACCTTGTCTGTGTCGAAAAGTTTCAACACAGAATTCCAGACCTCCAAAGTCAAATCATTTTATTTGTCATGTATAGAGGTTCCTAACACGCACTTCACAAAGCAAAAGAAAAAATATTTGTTTTCCTACTTGATAGATTAGAGAGGAGATCTTTCTGCTTTAAAAATAATTAATTCTGTTTTCCACTTCCGTAGCAGCAAGTTACAGCCATTTTGTTTTTTCTTGACAAAGCTATAAACTAGCAATGCAATAAAGTTTTGATTTGAAAGCCTGCAGTCCAATATTTTAAAAAAATTAAACAGCAGAAAGAGAGAGAGGAAGCAATAAGTTTCAGTAAGACATAATGTACAATATTACAAAATTGATAAGGAGTCATTAGACACTTGCAGTGATTAAGATTTTGTGAAGAGAAGAAAATGGGTGTGCTGCACAATCTAATCATGAACACTCAGAAGTTCTTGACGTCTGCTTTTTTCCCCCTACAAAGTCTTCAGGTAGGTAATGCGAACACACTTCGGCAAATGAGAATAAAGTGAACCCATGAATGAAATCTGTAAAGTACCAGTATCGTACAAATTTATTTACAAATTTTTGCTCTTAATGATTGGGCTATACTTACTTCCAGCCAAACGATTAAATCTACAGGTAAATACAAACCTGTCACTCTATGAAATCTCAAAATCAGGATCTCAAGGGGATTTAGTGAAAAAAATCTTGATCAACAGCAAATCACCAAGGTGACTGCCAGACTGACTAGCAAATTTTTCAGGGTAGTCCATAAATATATGCCCTTTGTGTGTTTTGTCACTATTTTTTTTAAACCCTGAAGCATCTCATCAAGCACTAAAGCACTCCTAGTCCAAGTGTCTAACCTCCCCCCCCCAAAAAAAAAACCGCAATCAGTCCCGAAAGACACTTCAACCAGTGTGCATGACCTTAAGTTGACCCTGTCAACGGATGGTCCCCCACACATGCAGAACTCCAGCGCCGAAGTCATGTCACGTGATGTGAACACAGTTTTACTAAGGGGCTCAGCGTAGTAGGTACCCATTGGGGGCTGGGTCGGGTCAATCGCCTGACTCGTCGCCTGAAAGCAAATGCGTTTGTTTTTGAGGCGTCGAGTCGGGTGTGATTGACTTGTTCCACGATAGCCGCTTTGCGCCCTCAATCTGGCTAGCAAACCGACCCGATCCCCCAATGGGCTCCCAAACACTCAGACGAGCAACAGTCGTTCTAGCTAACGACAACGGCTGACCGACCAAACGTACCAACAAATCTCTTATTCCTCATATGCGTTCAGACCAAGGCAACGACAACGGTCAAGTGTAGAATATTTGTCAGCACATATATAGCTGCGTAAGGGTTAAAACGACTGTAGCTCATCGGAGTGTTCGATGTGAATGCACGATTACTAGACCTTGAACGAGGCTTATTTTGAAAGTAATAGCAGAACTACAAATATTATGGAATATTTAATCTATATGTCACAATTGTAATAGTTATCAGGCTATCATCGGAGAATTCTGAGTGCGGGCAAAGATCAAACACAACTTGGGGGCGAGTCAACTACTGAATCCTGCATCAATATTTCGGAAAATAATGCTCAGAGTTCCTACTGACAAAAAGTTCAACAGGAGCTTCCTGCAATAGAAAGTAAGGCAGAGTAAGATTTTAGAAAAATCCGGTGCAACAGCAGACTGGAAAAAAAAATCGGGAACCACATGATCGAAATCGAGAAACACATGATCGAAATCGAGAAAATCTGGATACTTGAGATTTGGGGGGAAAAAAATTGGGATATCCTGACTAAATCGGGATGAATGACAGGTCTGTAAATACTATCTCAATTCTAGGAACCAGTTCTTCTAACTTCGAATCAAATTGACCAAAAATGCAAAAAACACTCCATCTGAGAATGTGACTTATTTATGAACAGATCTTTTATAAAAAGCAAACCTCCACCACAAATGATAGTACTGAAATAGAACACACTAGAGCATGTATGTGTTTGGAAAAAATGAAGATGAAAAAGATAAACAAGAAAAAAACATGGGAGTAATAGGCTCTGACAACACACACAGCTTTTAGAAGTCCTACCTGATGCAAAGCTGGGGCTAACACAGGTACCAGGAACCCTGAGTAGATAAATTCGATGAGCTGATCCCTGACTCGTGGATGCGCAACCTAAGACGAAAAACCAAGACATAAATGCTAAAGAAGACTTTTTTTTAGTAAGAGTTTTACGGCACTTGCAACACAATAAGGTCATATAAGTGCCGAAGATTAGAGGTGTTACAAGAGAGTAACAAACACAAAAAAGAAGGAGAAGAGATAAAGGTGATAAAGAGATAAAGATAAAGACGTTTGAAGGAAAGAAGAAGCAAACCGCACCAGAGCACCCGCCAACCACCCACAAAGACTGGTGGAAACACATAATCATAGAACAGAGACAGAAAGTGATGTTTTTCAGATGTTATTCCTCACAAGAGCAGTGTTCAATGTCTTTACAACATCTACACTAGATGAAAATGATGAAAATTACTTCACATCTTCGATGCCCTATTGAAGTACCTGTTTTCTCACAAAATTGCACAATTGTAATTTTTCACATTTGTGAAGTATCGAAAAGATTAAAATATAACCATCACATCTGGACCAGTCTCTTATAAAGGGAGAGCAAACGTGTGTATGTTCTCTCAATAGTATTTGTGTCACGGCTCGGTGGAATCAAGCTCATATCAGTTTTTGGACATGTCTAGAGTTATTGGTATCATTTTAAAGTTTGTTCATTTGTCTTGCTTCCGGGAGAAAAAAATACTCATCTATCATAAATAGAAGTCAAGATATTTGTGATTGAAGGAGGTGGGGGTCACCTGGTTTCAGAGGTAAAATTGGCAAAAAAATGGCTGCCATAAGTTGGTGTCTTCGAACGAAAGCTACAGAGTCCTTAGAAACTGCAAATTTACATTTTTGAGCCGTAAATCAACATTTTTCAGTAAGATCCACACAGAAAATAGTTGTTAAACGGACCTTTAACTCTTTGACTACCATAACTTCCTAGTTCGTGGCTAAGAGCCGAATTATCGGCTCGCGCTTTTCTTTCCCTTTCCCTTCCACAATTTGACTCAACCTTTCCGTTTCATGTTTTTAACTGCTGTGCTTACCATACATCAGTCAACCAGTGAAGGAATTTAGCGCCTTTTGTGTTTTATTCTGCTGTTTTTTTGGCATTTTTTCATGTATTTTTGACCCGCCCTATGTTGCTCGAATTAGTTTACACGCATAGCAAGGGAAAAATGGCTGATAACCCATCAGGTTCCTCCCCGTCACAACGTTTTTCTGCTTCAAAAGCCCTGAAAAAGTTTGATGGGGAACTGTCAGTACTTTCCGATAGTGATGTAGGAGGTGATGAAGTTAGACCTGAGTCGGACAGCAGCGACAGCGATGAGATTGAAGATTCGGAAAGAGGGGCATGTGTGCAGTGTTTTTTTCTCTTTTTTTCATTGTGAGTGATTTCACCAAAAGTGCGACAACTTTGTATATACTTGACCATTGTGCATGAAACTTGGCCCAGTTAGAGACAATTGGATATTCTTCAGTATGAGTAAGTCATGAAGTGATTGGACTTAGCAGCTATACACTGTGAGAAATGTAAGTTGGACATATTTTGTTTATTTTTATTTTTTTTCCACCTTGTGTTCACTTACCTCCCATGTTTGTTTGGATTTATGAATTTTTTCAATTTTTTTATTTGATTAAAAATATTCTACATTCAATTACCTTCATTTTGGTATATAATATGTCTGACTTCCAGATGGAATTATGCCCATCAGACACAAAAGAAGAACAGGGGTACTTCTGAAATTCTAAGACTAAGAAATGCCTTGGTCACAGCGCGGAAAACGCCTTGGTAGTCAAAGAGTTAAGGTGTTGAGTCAAAAAACGAAAATTCAATAAAAATTGCCAAACAAGACAGAAAAATGCCGGGTTTTTTCGATGTCATTATTTTGACGAGAGCCCGATTTCACCACGAAGCCTCACATTTATCATGAATGTAAATTTCAATGTTCCCCAATCTGCAGCCATCCAGAAGTGGGCCACAATTTTCACATAGCCTTAGAAACTACCACATGTCAATCTAATCTTGTCCTGCGTTTACTTGTGACAAAAAACAGAAAACAAGCTTCAAAAAACAACTAGAAGTGTCCTTATCTCACAAAACTAAATCACCAGCTCAGATGACAAAGATGTACATATTTGGTCCGTTCTCCTTAAGCAGACTTTAAAAAAATTTTAAAGTAAAATTTTACCTGTACAACAGCATTGGAAAACTGTAAGGAGTTGAGGAACATCTGCAAATCAGGGATGCGGAGACAATCTTGTCGTGTGATGGCAAACCAGTCATCAGAAGGAGGGGTGATCTTGCGGGGCAGAGAGGAGTAGAGGCCACTTAGGCCAGTTGCCAAAACCTGCGATAAACAGAACAGCTTTGACTGTAACGAGAAGCACATCCACATAAAAACTGTCAATTAGTGTTGGGGAAAAGCAAGATGGGAGGACAAAAACAACAGAGGGATAGAATAAATGTAGTTGTAGAAAATGCAAGGCCCAAAGTCTTAAAAGAAAAAAACATCTTGATTCAAGGTTATCTATCACAAAGTGGCTAGCTCTGGAAAAATTATTTTGTTGACGATTAACAAAAATGATATCACCCACTTTTCTTTATCTATTGGAAGAGCTTGAGAACTGCTTCAGCGGAAATTTAATTTTTTTTTTTGCTTTGAGAATAAATCATCTGTACACATTATGTGGAGCTCTAGACTCAGATTATGACAAGAACTAAACTATGACAGGTGACACAGCCCATATGCAGTCGGACCTGACCATAACAGCCACTCAAGATCAGAGAGAAAAGTGACTGGTATACATACAGGTGGTCGTTATGGACAGGATCTGAGTTATGGTCACTTACTAGACTTGAAAAAATTTCAATTTTATCTTTTCATTTCACTTGCATCAAAATTATTATTAGCATTAGGGCCTCTTTGCATTGTTGAAGGAACACAGGTAACACACTCAGTCTGAGGATGGGTTGACAGAAAACTTTCATTGCAAGTGACCGCTTTGGGTGGGCTTTGAGGCCTACTTATCGTGAAGAAGGCAGAGCGTGGCTGGGTTGGACAGGGACTGTTAAAGGCAGGTAGAAAATAAGGGAAGAACGTAGGGGGTGTCAGGGTACAGTGGCCATTAGTTTAGGTAACCGTTATGGTGAGGTGACCATTGTGGCAAGGTGATCGTTGGAGCTAGTTTGACTATACTTACAGGACAGAAGTCTGAGTTGTTGGCAATGTACTGGCCAATGTGAGGATGCCTTGCTGACAACGTCATGATGAGCAGCAGAGCGTCCCTGGCTCTCTGCCCCACTGGGCCCTCACGGTGGATGTAAGGAATCAGGAGGGAGAAGATGAGGAACCTGGCAGGACCGTGGTCTGCGTCCGTGCTGAAAGAGTGTTAGAACAGTATGTTTTACAGCTTGATTTGAGTAAAAATGAACACATCAATACAGTAACGATCACAAAACACACACAAGAAAAAAAGAAAAATGCACAAAAAAACAGAAATCTGAAAAAGAAGTAAAACAAACAGCAAATCTGCTGAAAGAATAATATTTAAAAATTCTTATATCAACTTTTAATGGTTAAGCGAAATTTTTGTCAAAAAGACAGTAAGACAAAGGATGCAAAGAAAGGTGTGAACTGCAAGAAGTGCAGGACTTCATTAAAAACATTACATCTCAAATTATCTCAAGAAAGAGGCCATTCAATAAACCTTTCTAAACTAGTGGTGGGCGGTACCGGCGAAATTCAGTCTCGGTACTTTCTCGGTACCGGTACTGGGAATGACACCAGTAGGTGACGTCACAGACTTCGCGTCTTGCATCTAACGCCACGATCAGCGCCGCCCACACACACCCCCTCCCCCCCACACACCAGTCAGAATTGGAGAGGCGAACTGTGGCGCAAAATACCTTTGAAGTTTGCCGCCGCGTGGGATTAAACTTTGCAGGCAGAAATTTAGAAATAGTTATCGCCGCTAAAAATTGATTTCATTTTCGGAATCAGCTTATCAAAAAAAGCAAAGTGGCTCCCGTGGAACCTGATTTGAAGCCATATTATAAATTTAAACAAACTTCGTTTTTGATTGTCAATTTTGAATCTGAAATCCTGTATCAAGGTCACCCGCTGCGTTGTGTGCATCTGATGTCACAGCTGCTAGGCCTAGGCCTATACACTGCACACTTCGCATTGCCCGGTAAGAAAAAAACAACCGTTGCGTCGGCTCCTTCCTAGAGCCGGTACTGGAGGCCAGGTGTCAGTACTGACACCTCCTTCGGTAGAACCGGGAGTTCCCGTACTGGGTACCGGTACCTGCCCATCCCTATTCTAAAAGACATATTTCTACAAGTTGAAGATCAGTTTAGTCATTGCCTTACCTGAAAAAGCTCTCTAATATAAGGCTTTGTTGGGAAATGCAGATGCAAATCTGATGCAGAACCAGCACTAATTTGAACTCCAGCTCTCCATTTGATATTTCTGAAGAATAAACGAGTCATTATCAGTATAATGATATTAACCCTAGTTAAAAATAGCAGAAATCCAACGGAATCATGATAGAGTCTGGAAATAAATGCAATACAATACTTCATTGTTCATTGTTTCAGGAAGAAACATCCCTGCACTCCGGACATGTCTACTGATGCTCCGTTGCTCTCTCCAAATTGTGCCGAGGGTCTTTCCATTGATTGTGCCAGAGAATATTTAAATTAGACAAACACTGTTTACCCATCACCTTATAGTCGGATATTTCTGGCATCTTCACAACTGTACTGTTGATTTTAAAAAGTAGAAAATTATCATATAAACTTGAAAGTTTCAAAAGCTGATAATTACAGGGTGATCCAAAAAAAACTGTACAACTTCTTTTGTTAATATTTTCCTCCACACTGAAGTTTTGCTTTTCAAACTTGTGCACATTTAAAAGTCAAAAGGAATTTTTTTCTACGAAGCACATAAAAAAAAAACATTTTCAGTTATGTCCCCATTTTTGTAGCATGACACACTAGTTCACATTAGGCCTAACACTAAAAATCCCAACGATTGCGCCATATAGCAAACTACAATTGTCTAACAGGCCAACAGAAGTTTGCAGATAGTTTTTCTCAAGTTCCCTGTGCCTGCTGAGATCATGGTTAAGATTAGTAAAGAGCAGAGAGCCTTTGGTATTGAAAATTTCCTCACCACCAACTCATTTTGTAAGTTGCACACAAGGTACGGAAATAATGTTAAAGTGCCCTTAAGTCCTTTTTTGAAGTCAAGGGTGGAAATGGTCCATCAGTCAGGACCTGTAGAGATTCGGAACTAAAATTCCCAGACAAAACGACTACTTCAGGTCAAACACACACCATTCTCACCCATTTAAATGTCACCGGGGTGCTGAATTCAGTAGATGAGCCCCATGAGATGTCTGTCCGTAGACGATGTCAGCAGCAATGACTTTCCTACATCTCAATGGTTTGCATTCTAAAGGCAGATCTTCATCTACGACCATACCATTTTGCTGTTCGCGAAGCTATCAGAGGATAGCAATGTGTTCATGATTCCTTAATCGTCTTTAAAAGCGTAAACATTTCCTATTTGACATTTGGCTCCTTGAAAAAGCCTATATTCACCTTTCAGATTATATGAACTCCACAAATGATGTCTATTTGGGCAACCTCACCCCCCCCCCCCCCATTGTCTCCAGAAACAGCTCCATACTGTAAAGTGTACAGTGTGTGTGGCTTTGAGTACTCATGGTTGAGTGGATCTTCATGTTTGGCCACCACTGAGCATTACGAACGACGCATGAAAATGTGTCAAGTCCAAAGGAAGACATATTGGCCATTGGTTCACGGAATTCCAGAATTTAAAAAATCTTTTTTTTGTAGGAGAAAAGAAATATTGTCTAACGTTCACAGGGATGGAAAGAGTAGATTTTAAAAATAAAAGGAAAGGAAAAAGAAAGCCAATCATTTCATGGCTTTCCTTAAGATCTTTTAAATTGGTGCATTTTTGCAGTATAGGTGGTTTTTATAAAAGCCATTTCCATTTTCGAAAATAAGTTTCTACTTTGTGAATTTTAAGTCAAACAAATTTCTTTTGAATGAATTATTATATGTTCCAAATTACATCATTCTAGTACAAATTTTGGGAGAGAAATTTTCTTTTAAGTTGTGGGGGTTTTTTGGATCACCCTGTAGATTTAAACCATGCCTGCATCTCCAACTTCTTAAGACCATTAACCAAAGAAAGGTGGGCACAACACCAACCTGGAGAGTCCCGAACATCCATCAAAAGGCGCAATAAAGGCTTGATGACAGGCTTGTGTATGAGGAGCATCTGCCGAGACTGGCTGATGATGAGCTCAAACAGACGTAGTTGCTGCAGGCGCAGTCTCTCGTGCTGAGGCACGTTCAGCTGGCACCAGGCACAGAAGCTCTCCAGCAGCTCCACTTCCATCACATAATGCAGGATTGGTCCTGACAAGATAATTATAAAAGGCGTGGGGAAAAAGAAAAACAACGTAAGTTAGAAACGGCTGTCAAGAGTAACTAATGAAATTTTTAAAATTTGTTTTTTTGGGGCAGATGGGCAATTTTTTTTTTTTATGTTCTCTTTTCTTGGCCCAACAACTTTTATGTCCATTTGACACATTTTTGAGTGGATTATACTGAAAAACATTGATTAAAGGCAAAAAAAAAATCTATTTTCAGTTTTCAAGGACTCTCAGGCTATGGAAGCTACTAAAATTTGGCCACAGTTTTCTCTCTAGGTTTACCTCTTAAACCAGGCGACCCTGACCTCCATCGACCGCAAATACTTTGACTGCTTTTGAAGATAGATGGACATTTTTTTTACCAAAAGGAAGGCAAATGAACAGGCTTTAAGATTACACCAATAACTCAATATGCCCAAAAATTGACGAGCATCTGATTCCACCACGTCGTGACACATTTCTATCAAATGCACATGTAATATTCAGACTGGTTACGAAACATTTTGAAAAACACATTTCAAGAACAAGTAGGAGACTATATTATGCGTCATGACACAGTAGAATGCTGGCATTTGTATTTTGTTCAGTGAGGCTTTCTATCTATTCACAATATCTATATTCGACATTAGTGTGTAAAACTTGAAAGAAAGTTGTTTTCAAAAGTGCAAAAGAACAAATAAATGAAATCTGTTCAAAAGAGAAATGACAAAGTTACAAGAAAACTAGCACAGATATACTTTATCTCTGGCCATTCAAAACTGGTTGCAAATTCAGAAAGAAAAAAATTTTGATTGAGAATCTTTCTAATACAGACAAAAACAAATTGTAGAAGGTGCTTTCCTTATTTCACACCAAAAAAACCTTTAACATAGTCTTTATGTTGAAAGCAATTCTTTTAAGCTCATCAGCTCCACAGGTTAAGATGGAATGCACATATATCAACTTAACACAGCAATTTTCACCCTCGAATACTAAGCAAAAAAAATAAATTAAAAAATAGCGTCTCCATTTGAAAGACAACACCAAGAACTAAAAGCTGTACTACTAATCACTTCTGACCTGGAAGTCCTCCATCATCATCTTCACTGACCAGTAGAGTGACCATCTGCTCCAGATTACTCAGGACAGCTTCCACTCCATCCACAGTAGCTTTCCCATTGACAGTGGCCTTTCGGTCCTGTCCATTGATAACAGCACAAGCCTGGAAAAACAATATAAAAATGAGTTTACATTGAAATCATCCTGTTGATAATGTTTCATTCAATAAATCTAATTTATAAAGCAGGGTTGGGGTTTTATTTTTGCAAGTTTGAGTAAAGAGGAGAACAGTGCAATTTGGAAAAAGCACTGAAGGAAAGTGAAGAAAAAAGAAGATTCAGTAAGTTGACAAGCCTTGCATTTAACTTTAACCTAGAAATCTGAGTGCGCCGGAAAAATTTTCTTCTCTACCTTTTTTTTTCCTTTTTCCTCCTTTCCTGCTACTCCTTCACTTTCTTACTGCTTTCTCTTTCAGCCACACCCCTGATCTTAGGGTAGGTAAGATCTAACACCTAGCCTTCTCGGATATAAGGGTGAAAGATATCAGAGGTCCCGTGTGCAAGTTGCGCACTTTAAAGATCCCACCTTGAGGATCAAAAATCGATAAGAGGAAGCTTCGGACACCACCAAGGCAAAATTCAAAATCAATTCCTATCACCAAACTAAAACTGTTTAATTCCCAGCAGTTTTGCCTATTTTGGCTTTTTCAGTTCAGGGGTTCTACATACCCTCAAGTCAAGCCTCATGCAATAATCTATCTACTCCAAATAGACCTTATACATAATTATATATCAATGGAAAGGGAATTGGATGGTCTTTCAGACTTAGCCAATAGATTTCATTTTTGTTAAAGCTGTCTTGAAGTGAGACCTTTTTTTCCAGTTACTAAAAATTGAAACAAAAACAGAAATCACACTTTTCCAGCAGTCACAAAGAAGCGAAGAAAAAAATTGTTTGAGAATTTTGAGTTTACAATTATTTCATCATGGAAAAGAGTATTCAGTTCTGCAAATTATGAGTCAAAGACACACCATTCTGTTTGAAAATAAAGAAATGAGAGCCATTCTAGTACATCCTACAATAATACAATTCCTAGCTATTGCCCTTAAATCTGGAAATTTCATATATATCTATATCATGACTTTTGCTCTCAAGCCTTCTGCAATAATGATCTATCATATACCAATAGAAAGGGAATTAGATGGTTTTTCAGACCTAGCCAATAGATTTCATATTTGTCAAGCTTTCTTGAGATGTGACATGATATATTTTTTGTGTTACTAAAAATAGATGCAGAAACAGAAACTGGACTGCCCTAACAATCACAAAGAAGAAAAATATTTTACAATTTAGAGTTTACATTAATTTGATGAGAAAGTACATATATTCAATTCAATGTAATGTGTAAAAGACACCTCTTCTGATGCAAAATAGAGAAATGAGGGCTGTTCTTGGGCATTCTACAAATTCTCGGTAAATTACCCTTGAAACTGGAAATTTCAGAGCAAGAATTTCATAATAAAACCACCAATGTTAATACCTATTTTACATTTTTTTAGTCTATTTAGTCATTTCTAAATACCTTACAAAATCTTTCTTCATAAAAGTAAATGTATTTTACGGACAAAATACCACATCACCAGCAATCGTAAATTTATACGATATAGTACTGCATGAACTGCTGGGAGTTAATGTGTCCCACATGCTCATATCATGACCTTTTTATGCAGTTGCGAGCGCTGTAAATAAAACACATACCAAAACAAACAAAACAAAAAATCAATTACCTGTTTCCAATGGTTCTGAAAAACTTCCAAGCAAGTATTTGGATCCGTGTCAGATCGGGAGCCACCACCCGAGGACTCAGGTGAGCGGCGCTCACCTCTTTTGAACCAGCTACTCATGACAGATTTTCGTGTTGCACATGTGTAGGTTCACTGACTCAAATTTTGTCACAAGAAGTCATGCTTTCCTCATATTTCAACTGGGGAAGGACAATCCAATTCATTTGAAAGCACAGAAAATATGTTGCTTCTAAATTTCATAAAAATGTGCATCAAATTGTATGCTTTTTCCGACAAAAAGATTTAGATTCTACTACAAATTAAAAGCATTTTGTTAACTAAAAGAAAGTGGCTATTCTCATCCGGGGTGAGAATAGAAATACGATCGACCTCTCACCCCGGGTGAGACTTGCCACCTTAGGCTATTCTCACCCTGTGTGAAACAAGACCTGTTTTTCCTAATTTCGGAATACTTTCTATCGATGTGGATGATCAAATGGATAAAGGCAAAGAAAAGATTACGTTATAGCACAAAAGTAAGCTAATTTTATCGACTACAAAGATGCTATGGCTATTTCACTTTTCGAATCGAGCCGAACTACGGGGGTCGCCATTTTGTTTTGCCCGGAGGTTCTCGCAAGATCTACTCCTCCCCTCTTCTCTTTCTCTATCTCTTTCTGACTGTCTATCGGTGTGGACGATCAAATAAAGGCAAAGAAAAGATTACGTTATAGCACAAAAGTAAGCTAATTTTATCGACTACAAAGATGCTATGGCTATTTCACTTTTCGAATCGAGCCGAACTACGGGGGTCGCCATTTTGTTTTGCCCGGAAGTTCTCGCAAGATCTACTCCTCCCCTCTTCTCTCTCTCTATCTCTTTCTGAATAATGTCTATCGGTGTGGACGATCAAATTGACCAAAACAAAGTTTAAAAATGATGTTAAAACACAAAAGTAAATTAATTTGGTCGTCTACAAAGATGCTACGGCTATTTAACTTTTCGAATCGAGCAGAACTACGCGGGTCGCCATTTTGTTTTGCCCGGAAGTTCTCGCGCTACTCCTCTCTCTCTCTCTCTCTCCACTGCCCACAGACAAAATTGTACGCTTTTAGTAGGTTAACAGTAGTAATGGAACGTTTGTTCACGGCACAGAATTCTACAATTTTTCTGTTAAACACAGTGTAGAATTTTGTGGTTTAGGGTGAACGCAAAATTGGTTGGCCTAGATCTAGGCTACAACGGTGAACGCACACCGGGTGAGAATAGCCAAAAGACTCGTCTGCACTATTCTCACCGCGGGTGAGAATAGAGGTGGCCTAACTAAAAACAAACGGCATGGACAATGCCATGGTGGGCATTCAACAATCCAAATCAGAAAGACTGATCCAGATCTGTATTCTATCTAGATTCTAGTCATTCCTAGGTCTGGGTAAAATTATAAGCCACTGAGCAAGGGAAACCTTAATTAATACTTTGCATTCACACAGCCAGCAGACCCCATCTGGCTCTGGTCACCCAACCAGGAGTGACTGCAATAATGGACTTCTCGGGCATGGCGCAGTGACTGGAACGATAACATTTTCACTGTTGCATTATCGGGCTCGCGCCTTGTGACTGCAAAGTGTTTAACCTCTACTTTTGGCCCTGTATCTCCAATGTTTCCATGTCAAACCCTAAAGCCTAAAGTTTCAACAAAACAGTACAGCCTCTTTCGCTGGCTTCATCAGTCTTCCATTCATTTTCAATTCTTGCCCCATACTCACTTCGGGCCTGACCAGTGTGCTTGAACCAATTTGCAACAGCAGCTGGAACCAGCTGTAAACAATCTTTCGCAAACTTCAAACTTTAAGACCTTTAAGCTCTGTAAACAACGAATCTAGGCCGTTCGACAGAAATAATGTGATTTGTGGAATTAAATGGGCTTGGTCTTATTTGGAGTTCCCAGACGAGCAAACACCTATGACGCATTTCAGTTAACGCAATCGTGTGTCGAGTCAGTTCTATCTAAACATAAAAACTACCAACAAACCACGACATGACGTGAACAGTAATAAAATGGAATGTAAGATCAATCTTACGAAAAGTGTCGACCAAGAAAGATTCTGCCCCCAAAAATGTTAGATTCCGTGTTCCCAATTGTGTTCACCTGCCATAGTGTACAAGGTGAAGGTTGATGTATAGATGATTAAAAAGATGGATCAAAACGAAGATTTGATAATAAAAAAGCAAAACCGTCAACACAAATGTGAACGGTTTTATTCCAGGCCAATTAACAGGTTTTCCTTTTGATAAGGATTCCTTTTTGATCTCAGGCAGCGTTTGGTGTAATTCTAAACTTTTAGGCTCGAGTTACGTTTATCTATAAGTCATGGTTGCTTATAACGGGGAAAATAGAAAAATAATACAGGTTGATTTACCCTGATCCCTCCAGGGAAATTATGTTTAGATCTACTGAGGATCGGAAACAGAAAGTTTTGAGAAAGAGAAAGTTACGGCTTCCGGTGGAAAAAAACTCCTCAGGCTTGATATCCACCCGCTCCTAAAAGTTTTTGCATTATGAAATGGATAATAAAATTGAAAACTTAATTGTTATTTATGTTCTGATCCATTGACAATGTAAATGAGATACAAACAGTAGATTAGTAGGGGGAGGGAGGGAGGTGATGGTTGTCACACCTAACTGATGCGACCATAGATGTACAAAGGGTTTTCAGGCTTAGTTCAGTGCCATTATTGATACGCATCTCTTTTCCGTTCGGAATTCAGTTCAGTTCAATTATCTTTACGATGATGCAGAAACCAGATTCGACGCTCATCCCTTGCGAATGCTAAAAATCTATGAAATACATCTTTAGTTCTATATTCTCAAACGCAAGTAGCAGGGTGAAAAGGAGCAGAAAGAAATAGCAAAGAGGTTACAACGGTTTATTTATAACCTCTTTACATTTAGGCTATAACCTCTTAGCAAGGTCTCTAGTCTCTGGCTATCCGATTTCCCCCATTTTCAACAATCGCAATCTCAGTGGATGTATTACTTACACGGCCTATTATTGTACATGTAGTTAGATTGCCCCCTCCCCACCCCCCTCCACTCCAAACCAAACACACACACACACACACACACACACA